ACAATAGTAACGTATCATGTCTGAATAAGAGTTATATGTTTAAAACATGTTAATTAAACTTAATTTAATTTTGTTCAAAATTATTTACCAAAACATATGTAATATTTATTAAGACTGCTTACACATTATTATAAAAAGACTTTTTTGAGAAAAATTGTAGTTAGAGTTTGTGCAACATTTTCTCAACTTGATTTTTGTAAATCTCAAATTATTGATATATTGTACATTATATAAATCACTTCTGTGTATATAATGCTCAACGCTTTGGTTTTAATGTTAAACTGCCATACTTATTGCCCACCAAAAATAATATAAAAGATATGAGAATATTCTTTTATAGGCATTTAAATTGGAAATATATTTTGGACTTGCAGTATACGGTGGTTAAAAAATTTGTTATATACAGAAAGAAAATTTGAAGTTTTGCATTTAATTTTATATGATTAAATGTTAATAATTATATTTTAAACAAAATTTCAGAACGATAATGGTATATAACAAAATACCTTAACATATGAGCAACATATTAATAACTAATATGTTAGTGTAAAATCTCTTACAATTAATTAAGTCGCAATTACTTGATTCAGAAACAAAAAACAAGGAAAAATATTTAACATATAAAATTTTATAAGGCTTCTTGTAATTGTATATTTTAATTAGATCACCTACATATATATTGCATATATTTTATGTACATATTACTTGTGTTCTTCTAATTTGGTGAAAACAATGAACAGTAATATTAGTGCGTGCACTTTTAAACTCTATGTTTTCTGATTTTAATATATTATTATTTCATTCTAGTTTTGAAACTTAGATTTAATATATTTAAGAACATAGTACATTAGTTCGTTAAATTTTGAAAGTTGATTATTATGAAAGCAACTTCAATTTAAATATTTGCTTTTTGTATAAAGCAACAGAAAATGTATTATCTTTATTTATTAATTCCAAAGAAGCGAATTTAATTATCTAAATGTGGCCTAATGAATAAGAATTAACATTAGTCTACTTATGCTACATTAGCTAGAACCATAAAATATAATCGTAAAATATCATTGTATGCATCTTATTGTTTAAAAAATTGATTTTTTCAATGGACTATTTAAAATTACATAACTGCATTTTTATTCAAAAGAATCATTTAATTCAAGTTTGTAATGACTTGCAATGCATTAATCGCGACAACTATTTTATATTTGCACTACAGAATTAATGTGGAAGTGTTTGTTATTATTATGTATTGGCAGTAGAAAAAAGAAGGAGGCAATACATATTTATTTCGTAACTTGTATTAGTTAAATTTTTAAGACATCAATATACAGTTATTTTATTAAAAAGAAAATAAAATGATAAAAATATCTTATTACTCAATAAAAATTTAATGAAATATGTTTTGCATGATTAAGACAGTGTTATTGTAGTTATTTTAGCACTACATGGTTTTTTAAAATTTATTAATATACAACAATTGTAAGAAATTATTTTTTTTTAATTTCTACAATGAATTTTATGTTTGTTGACCATCATTTATAGAAAAGAAACATTTAAAATGAATTAAAAATTACCTGACATCGTACATTTTACTGCAAAATATAATGAATATTTAATTAACAAATTTAATTCTTACATAATCATACATAAGTACCATTAGTGCATATGCACAAACTTGAATCTATTATTTTAAAGAAGAGAAATATGATCAAATACAACAGATTATCTGGTTTTTTCTTTTTGTATTAAATGTAACATGTGTTTACACAAAGTTAAAAAACTAAGTTAAGAAAACTAATCTTTTGTGCCATGTCAAAGCATAACAAAAACTATAAATGAATAATTAGTTAATAAAAATTTGGTATAGATTCATTCAATTCTATAATTGGATACAAAGATTCTACAAGAAAATACAAAAATCTTCTATTTTAAATATAAGATTGTATAAGAATTAATACTTTGAAAAAATGTTTCCATTGTAAAGAATTGAATTTATGGTTTTAATAGTAGTATTACAATAATGAATGTAATATGAATATATAATATTTACTCTGCAGTTAAAGTTTCAAAATGTTTTGAAAATATGAAATATCATTTTCAAAGAAACAATTGTGCTTCGCTATGTACAATATTAGAAAAAAAGTATGATTTAGTGCTTTAAAGTATTCTTTGTAAATTTCAAGGTTTTAAAGAAGAATTCAATTTGTATATAAAATGCATTATTTCATATTGAAGAATGAGTAAAATCAATCGATTTATATACTGTTTACAATACATATAAGTTGTTTTTTTGCATGTGCTTATATATTTCTGTTGAAACTAATTAAATTATAAAATATAGCGAATTAAATGTAGTGAAATCAGTTATATGTTAAGAATATTGGTGATGTTTAATGAAGCGTAAATACTCATTTCGATTGCAATGGCAGTAAATGTATTGAAATTTTAAGCAGTTTAATAAACAAATAAATCTATAGAAATTGCAAGCAATTTAATAAATAAATGATTATAAAGTTATATTGAATGTAATATTTTAAACTAAGTAATAAGTTTTCAATTCTTGTAAATTGAAATTTTTTGTTCATATCAAAATAAATTAAACAGAATTTATTCTGTTCTATTTATTTCAGATTAAATTAAAGAAGGTATTTAAAATAATTGCATGCCATTGCAAAATACGTACAAATATATCTATCATATGTAAGCAAAAATATTAAAAATATGATATCTCATTGTATTTGTAATTTTAAGCTATAATACTGCGATATCATATTGTTGTAAGTGATTCGTATTCTGTAAATAATATTATGTACCGGGTGTATTCTAAACTGTATACAAAAATTAAATAGTACTTTTGTTTTTTTATATTTTATTACATGAGACTGAAACATTTATATGTTCAAGAAAAATGTTAAAATAACAATATTTGAAATTATAAAACAATTAAATGAAGAAATAAGATATTCTCGAAGATGGTAAACATTAGGGGATATAAAGCAAAGTAATATTAAGTCTTCCAGGGCATTTTTTACTTAAGAGCGTGCAATAACTTTTGTATGTTCATCAGAATGTTTTGTTTTTACAAATGAAAGAATATTATGTTGCAATTTAAATTTGTAAAGATTTAGCTTCAAAAGTAAATTTAAAATTAGTAATTTCAAGAAAGCTGACAGAGGCACTATTGAAATTTCTATTAAAAATATTTTTAATATTTCAATAGAATCAAAGAAGAAAATGATAGCCTTAAAAATACAAATCGTAGTATACGTTTTTTTTAGTTATTGTTAGTCATAAAATTTATTTGTTTTGCTTAAAAAATCATGATTATTCTAATATACAAATTTAATCATAAGTTTAATTAAATATAAGTATAATTATAATTTTATTTTAATTAAAAAAATCATATTAAGTGACTGTTTAAAATTTCGTACGTTACTTATTACGCATGCGTGTTCTAATTTCGATCTCGATCAATCAGACTAATAACAATTCACGCTCTTAAATCGAAAATATCCTATGAAACTTAATATTTGTTTTTTTTATGAATTCAAGGAAAATAATTTATATATTCCGTTATTGCTTAAACTGTGATTATTTTAGAAACGCCCATGTACAAACTCGAACCAGCAATCAATTTTGTGATAGTCTATGTACCAATTTGGCAAATTTTGTTGAATTGATTCCACTTCTCATAGTTGGAGTATAATTATTAAAACACTGTCATATATATATAGAAGAAAGATATTTACTACTTTATAAAGCGATAAAGACAATGTATTATCCTCTGATTTATATCATATAGGGATGTAGGAATATTTAATAAATCGAAATATTACTTGGCGTTTTTATTTAATTTCGAATTATACTAATTATACCAATAAATAGTTTTCAAATTTTTTTTATTGAAATTTGCAACATCAATAAATATAGTGGTTAATATTTGGTTAATGTTAATAATACAAATCGATAATAAATTTGACAAAGAAATTGCTCCATAGACCATATTAACATCTAACAAATTTTTAAATTCACTCAAACAGAAGTTAATTTAAGAGCTCAGTAATGTATCAGTTCTTTACAGTTACGGTATTCATTGTTATCTATTGAATTCTTTAAAAACATCTCCTTTTATGGTTCTAAATTGAGATTAGAACAGATGATGTCTTTATAATATATATTCAAATAAATGGTACAAGAATATAAAGTCTATTAGCATGTTTACATTTCTGTTAAATAGAACGACATATCTTATAATATTTTTGTGCAATTTTCCTTGAAAACAGATATATCTTTTAACTATAATTTAACTATATTTTTAATTATAAGAAACAGTAACAATTAAATTTTATTATAAGGAATTATGTTGTGATTAGTTATTGTTACTTGCTATAAAACTAAATTGTATTAGAGATTTGTAAAACAAAATATTAGTTTTGCACATCACTTGGGTAAATATGCTCCAATAAAAAACATATTCATGTGTTAAAAATTACATGTATCAAAATATGAATTTGTCATTGTCATGCATATTTGATACACATTCATTGATATAAAGTACATAATAAATGCACCTCTTATTATGCTTAATACATTTATTTAATGGGTATTGAAAACATTTGGTGTGTATATAATATATATATATATACATAAAAATATTAAGAAAGACCTAACCAAGACTATTAATAACATTGCAGATAATAGAAAAAAATAATGATCCCTGATTTGAATTAGTTAAAAATTATAATCAACATTGTATAGAACTAAAGACGAAGGATGGGACATTATGTCTGATGGTCTGAAATACTTCATTGTGTAAGAAGCGTTAACATTTTGTTACAACTTTACATCAAGGGTATCAAACTGGGAGCCTAGGAGCTCGTGATCATTCTAGGGTCTTCCCCTCATGGAAAATTACCCTCCTGTACCTAAGTAAATACCTAGGTAAGTACCTACTTACTAGGTACTTCGGTAATAGGGGAACACTAATCAAAAGTTACTAGTTTGAGGAGAGTCAGTTCGACACTTCAGCTATAAGAGTCCTCCGTGGCAATAATCATAATCTTTCCCCTAAATAAATTTTAAAAAACAACGTACTAGACTTTCACATAAGTAATTATCGTTCGTGGAATTAAATTATCAAATGCAGTGATAAAATGGCGAGCTAGTGTGTTGACGTTCATTTTATGATTGTTTTTAGAGTGAGTGTAGGAAGATTTTATAATTTAATTAATATTGAACAAGATTTAATCTGTACATTAAGTAGTTTTTTGTTCATGTGCCATGAATTCACTTGATTCAATGATTGAATCAACCCAAAATGTTTCTACATTCATTGATGAAGAGCACAATTGTACTGCTATTGATAAAACTACCGGGCAACCTTGTGGTGAACCAGAAAGTCTAAAAATTATCGATGAGTTTCAAAAATTGTACGAAAACCGTATTCAGAATGTTGACCAAGAAATCGACAATGAATTTGATAGAGTTTTTGTGCGTATATATAAACTTAAGTTATTTTCATTTATACAATGAATTCGTTGTGTTATTTCAAACAAACTTTATATAACACTAATTCTAATATTTTCAGATGAAATTGGAAATCTCAAGAGAATGGATCAAGGACTTAAGAGAGCAAAATGTTATGTTGGTGCAGGTTGTGGAAGATTTGGAACAAACTACTTGTAATAGAATGAAGTTACTAGAACAAAAATTGAAACAATCATCTATGATTGTATCTGAAAATTTAACAAAACCAGGTCATACAGAAAAGGTAGAATAAAAAAATTTTTATGAAATTAAAAGGCATGAGAAATATAATTTGAATGTATTCTCTGGTACAGGCCATAAATTTACTTTCAAATCGTGTTAGTAATTTACAAAAAGATGAAGAATATATGCGACAAAGGATAGAGTTTCTTCAAAGTGATATTAGAGGATTATTAGAATTAATAAGACGTGCATCACAAGAAAACCATTGGAATTTAGATGGGATAAAGTTCATAGAAATACAACCTAATGATATACCTGCTCCTATCGAGTAAGTTTTCATTTTTAAGTTGTTTCATCATTAAAAAATCAAAGTAATTCTCTTTTTCTACCTTTATAGCTATTCTTGTGGCAAGGTAAATATACATTTAGATGCTGATAAAAGATACAAACTTATAATAACAGTTAGTCATGGTCTTATGAATAACTCAAATTAATAATTAGATAAGAACATTTCCTGATACCTCTGCATTGAACACCTTAAGCTTGGACTTTTATTGTTCATACAATTGATGCATATATATTATTTATCTCACGTTTTGATTTCCTACACTCCTCTTAAAAATTTTTTGTCAATATTTCTATATATAATAAATGGTGGGTATATAAAATTTTACAAACAGAAGTTGTGTTTCTTCGATTTACTCTTGCAATGTCTACTTTAATGTTTAATAAGTGATAATTAAAAGGTAATTGTAAAATTCTAAAATTAGGAAGAAACAAACCAGAAAAGGATACAGTCTTTAAAATTGCAAATTGAACAATTTCAAGAAAATGAAAGAAAAATGATTACGTAAGTGTGAAAAAAATGAAGTAATTAGGAAATAATAACATACTATGCTAATCTACTGAATATATCAAATATCATTTAATTTTTTAAGTGGTCTTGTGTATCTCCTAGGTATCAGAGAGAGTTGGAAGATAAGTTGGCTGATCTCACAGCAAAATTAGAAATCAAGGAAGATACTATAAAAAAATATTTGATTCAAAATCAAAATGTTACTGAGAATCTGAAAACACTTACGCAATTTGGAAATCAAACTACATGTAATTCATTCTCAATGAATGATAAACAAACTTCTGATGTAAGTTAATATATAAATATGAAATTTAATTAAAAAATCAAATGAAATCAAATAATTTTATATGAAAAATATTAAATGATAGATAAAAAGGCAATCATGTTAAACTCTTATTTGTGACATGCATACAATCACAATTTGTTTTTAAATCTTCTGTTGCTGTTCAGATTGTGTTAGTAGCTGATATTGTGGAAAAAATGTTCATCGAGAAAGATCTCGAGATAAGAAATTTACAGCAGCGTTTGCATAATGCTGAGTCTACTTTGGCAGTATTAACTCGTGATAACAATACAAATATAAATAATTTAAAAGTACAACTGAATGAAAAATGCAGAGTAATACAAGAAGTAGAACAGAAGATGTCTAATATTCAAAAAGTTTGTGTTACTCGCATGTATCTTCTTTTTGTGTGTAATGATTTGAATATAATTCTACTTGTATCAACTAATAGGAGTTGCTAAAGAAACAAGATACTTTAACAGAAGAAGTAACAGAAAAAGTTAAAATGATAACATCCTTACAAAAACAAATAGTTATGCTACAAGAGCAATATGAGTGCACAAATATGCAAATTCAGTTTAAAGAGGATATCATTAAAGAAATGCGAAAAAAGTGGAAACTTACAATGGACAAGGTATAATAAATGTACCAAATTACTTTTTTTTATTTTTATACAGGTAAAAGTAATATTTTTTGTTTCCAGTGTTTATATTCCACTATATCATCTTGTATCTATAATTATCATAATACATTTGATACTGACGTTCAAAAAGTGGAATCTATTTATAAATTTTATGAAAAATTTTATGCACCAACATCTCTCTGTACACCTGTGAATCACAGTGATTACATTTCTGTTTTGAAAAATTGTGTTAAGAATAGTTTAAATAGAAAAAGAGAAACGGAAAGTTTGCCTACGATGAAAAGTAACAATTTAAAAAATTTAGTGACTAAAGCAATGAGTTCTTCTCAAAGTAAAATTAACGCCCATAACAATTTCCGTAATATTGACAGGAAGATTTTAAAATATATGAAAAGATTATGTCCACTTAGCAAACAGAAGTAAATTCTTAAAATGTAAAGGTATCGCTATCTTAAAATAATTAACAGTGGTAACTATATACACTAAATCTATATTAAATACTTTTTGATTGTGTTAAATTATGGAACGTATGAAATGAAATAAATATTGGCAGTAGAAGAACTGTATGCAGAGTTATAATTTAAAAAATTTTAATGGTAACCTATATCAACATGATTGCCTTTCTCTACAACTTTGCACTACGTTATTACTAGAATTTTAAATCTTAGCAGGTATAAATCATATGTTTTAACATAATTTCAGGAGGCACATACTACACAAAATGCTTACATTGATACAGTTGCTTGTCAAGAGGTTGGTAAAAATAAAATGGTTGTAAATTTAATACATTTGTATAAATATTTTATTTAATATATATTTAACTTTTTAGAATCATGTAATATCATATTTAACTAAAGTAAAATCGTTAATGGAACAAGACAATGATAATATCTTTAAATTAAAAGTAGAATTGGAAAAAACTATCGGAAAATTGTATTGTGGAAACAACGAAGTTTGTACCTTTACTCTAATTTACATAATAACATTGAGTTTTTATGAATTTTTAATTTTCTGTCCAAGAAATGGAACTAATGTTTATTTATTAACATATTCCTTTGCTATTTATTTTACTTTCGCGTCGTATCTTTTCATCTCAGCACTTAAATAAAGTTTCACAAAAGAAATGTATTATTATTAATAAACATTTTTCAGTTCTCTATAGTAACACAAAGAAATCGCAAGAAGAATAAATGAATTTAATAAGGAACTCCTGCTTTTATAATAAAGAAACTTTAATCAATTCCAACATCGTTATATATTAATACATTTTTTTGATGTAACTAAATATACAGAAATAAAGATTTTGTATTGTTAGTGTATATGAAAAATGTTTATTGATATTACATCAAACTAAGAAAAATACCCATTATACATATTCATATTTTTAATTATGCAGGATATAAATATACAATATGAACTAAGTCAAAATATTGACTATATAAATAAAATATCTCCAAAAAAGAAGGAATTGGTTGCTATTATTAATTCTATTATAGTATGTATAATTTTTAAAGATTCTAAAAAATATGTGAATGTTTTTCAGTCATACAATACTTATATAAGCCTTTTTTACATTGATGTAGTTAAGATTGGAGAACAATAATTCCCTTTATGTAGATAATGAAAATTTACCTGTGAGTATAGTTACCTCTTGTTATATAATACAAGTATTCAATGGTACAAAAATGTTAATTATATTCTAGATGTGTGTAGACTTTAATCAACAATTTAAGTTAATGGACATAATCAGAGCATGTGCTATTGAAGCACAAGTTACGACAGAAGATATTAAAGATGGAATGGCGTTAATTGCTTGTACTTTCAAGTCTAGACATGAAAAAGTAAGAATTTATTTTAATTAATATTAACATTAAACATATACTGCTTACTTTAATTATAAAATATTTACAGTACATTGATTTAAACGAAGAAGTTGTTAATGTACAAAAACAGTTAATAAGAAACCGAGAGAAAATAACAGAAGCACTAAGTAGATTACAATTACAAGTAAGATTTGTTAATCTGTAATACATATAATATAGCATTTAACGCATTAATATCTGTTTTGTATAGGAAGAAGAAAGAATAAAACACAGTGAAAGAATTACTTCAGGAAACCTTAAATTAAAAGATATTAAAAATGAAATAAATCTTGCTCAGGGTAGATTATCAATGCATCTTACAGAAATGCAAAGTAATATGCAGGTAAAAGTGTTTTTGATACATTTCATTCGCGATATTATTGTAATTTCATCATTATTTTATTGACATTTTATATTTTAGGAGAGTATTTTGCCTAGTTATTCAGAAATGTCTTTATGTAATGACTTGGTATGTTCAGTTATAGAAGAAGTGGAACAAACATCAAAGAGTCTACAAGTATTTCATACTCAAGTAAACTTTTTATACTTTTGATTTAATAATATTATATTGTAAGTAAGGAAATAATTTTAATTATCTACATGTTTCAAGGAATGCTGCACCACTTCAGATATGGAAGAAATAGTAACTCAACTTTGTGCAATAGAATCATGCATAATGAAATTACAACAAAAAATAAATGAAGCAGTTAGTATACCTACTCTTATTGAGCTACTTTTTTGTTATATAGATTTCCTTTAAAACTTTTTTCACATATTTACAGTTATTTCTTTTTTACATCTACGAAATGTTTAATTATAGCTTTCAGGACACGAAACAGTGGAAACAACCCTCTGCCAAAAGGAAGACAAGTTAAAAAAACTAGAAGAAGAATTAGATGTAGTTCATTCAAAAATACAACATGTATCAAAAATATTTTTTAACTCAAAGGATCAGGTAATTATTTGATATTTATATAATATTAAATGTGTAATAATAGTTGTTTGATTGTATTAAATACATATTAATAAATTTACTTTTATGTTAATGAAAATATAGACATGTGACAATAATGGTACGGAATCTCAACTTTACACTCAGGTATTTACCGATTATTTTGTATGCTTCATAATTATAAAATATATTAGATTTATAATTTCCATGTTATTTCAGACTTGGAATGAAATATTGCAAACCAAACAAGATTTACATAAATTAAGGAAAGAACACGATGACTTAAAACTCAAAATGTCACAAGTAAGATATTATTTTTTACTGTTCGTTGTATAAGTAGTATTGTATACTTACTATAACAAACTATTGAAGGAAACATTTCAAACACAATGCAAAGATAAATGTTTATGGAAGTGTAAAGTGACTGATTTACAAAAACAGGTTAAGATATTGCAACACGAGGTATTTAAAGAGAAAATAAATTTCTAACAAGATTAAAATATTTTATTGTCATATTATATGTGTAACTTGTAGGTACAGTGTAAACAAGAAGCAAATGAGTTTTTAAGAAGCAATATTAAATCTATGGAGGAGGAACTTCGTTCCATGCAAACAAGAGCAGAAAATTATAGACGATCTCATTCCATGGATAGCATAGAATTAAAAAAAAAGATCATACAATTGGAAAATGCAGTAATTATTAGTTAAAACTAAAAATATTTATTATAAAACATAAAAATATTGATATACTTTTAAATTTCAGCTTAAATCACATGAAGAAAGGGAGTGTATACTTCAGCAACAATTGAATGAAAGTGAAGTAGAACTTAATAAATCTAAAGAACTTCTAAATTCTTTTGTAAGTTCATCTTAAAATTACAATGTAAATTTATTTGATATATGAAATATTAATATTTTTCTTGTTTAATACCAAGCCTAATGAAGTTGGTATTGAAGAAATACTATTGCGATATGAATGTCACCAGCTTAGACATGATACAATGGTAAGTGACCTATAATGTTGGATATATAATGCGCATTTTAAGACATTTGTCGTAAAAAATTAATTTATATTTTACAGTCAGTATCTCAATTATTCAAAACTCTGGAGAACACCATGAGATCTACAAAATGTGATATACAGGACTTTAAGACAGAATTTAAAAAATTAGTTCGTATCAAATTTAAAAAAAAAGATTTATGGCATTTAAAGTTGTATATATTGTTTATCACATTTAAAAATAATATATTTGCAGATTTACGAAGATCAATTTGACTTTTGTTCATCTGCAAGATCACTTATGAATTTAGTAGACAAATTACAAAAATGTGAAGACGAAATAGATAATTGTTCTGAAGAAATAGAAAAACTTAAAAATGCTCTGTATTCCAAAAATAAACTTGTAAGTATACATTATTTATGCGTATAAATTTGTTAAGATCTTTTTTTCGTAATATAATCGCGAATAGAATATGTAATAAAATTATATTATCCTTGCAGATAGAAGATAGAGATAAAATGATTAGAATTCAAAAGGAAGCTATTAAAATGACACAGTCTGAAATAAAGGAGCTTCACCAGAAACTACAAGAAAAGGTATAATTAAAAAATTTAGTACAATTTAGACTACATAATTTGCAAAAATGTTTAAATTTTTATGATAATTTGTTGTATTGGCTTGTATAATGTGAAATGTCGGATTTTACGGAAAAAGAACACCTTATTTAATGTTCTAAAAGACGCCTATTCAATCAAAATATGTTCTATTCAATACATTTCTGCCAACGTGTTTTTAATGAATATATTCTTTTTCTTTTTAATTTTGAATGTTTAAAATTAATAAATTCTAAAGGCATCGTTATAAACTACTGTTTTGAATTTACCACGAAACTCATTTTGCAAAGAAACATCACCGAAACGAAATTTTGCAAATCAACACTGCACTGTTCTTTTATTCACAGTATTGTTCTCAAATGCTTTGTTTTTATTTTGAGCGGTTTTTGCAGCATTATTTCCAAGTTTGAATTTATATAAAAAAAAGTTATTCCAATAATCGACAATAAAACTGTTTAAGAAGTTATATGAAAAACAAAAGAATAATAACAACAGGAGTACAAACATTTATGAATAAGAAAAATCCGACATTTCATATTACACGACCTAATAATATGAGAAACAAGTAAGTTGTTTTTGTTTCGTATATTATACTTGTACACTAAGTCGTCAATAGAATTTTGACATGATACAAGTTTCGTATATTGTGCAATCAAGAATTCGTAATAACTGATCTACAAGAATCTGAAAATATTAACAAGATATAGAAGGTGTGTATATCTTATAAATGAAATTTGTAACATATCATTTTAAATGTTTCTTCCTAGATCGATAATCAGGATCAAATACTTTCCAAATTCGAAAAAGAGAAGAAACAATTGTTAAGACAGGTATGCATATAACGTACTTATTTTTTAAATAAAATATACTGTCCGTGTAAATTTTGTAGTATTCTCCTTCTATAGATTACTTAACACGTGTTTTAAATTTTAGAATGAACTTCAAAATCAGACTATAGGACACTTGCAAAATGCTGTAGTAGAAGCCAAAAGATGTATAGATCAAATGGGACATAGAACTATGAGTGACGTGAGTGAACAGTGGTCCACAATTTCATCTTCCATGTACAGTCATGGGAATGTGCATGATGTTTAAAGGTTTGATTTGTAAATATTGAGCGTATGTAAATAATGTCCAAACTAATTTATCTTGAATGCAATTCTTTTTCCAAACTACGTAATAGAATCATCACTGGAAATTTAGAGCTTTAAATGTATAATTGTACTTATTTTATTAAGCAATTGTTTCTCAATACGAGCGGTAAGTTCGCATTATAATCGAATTTGAAAAATCAAATCAAATGTTATGTAGTATAGAATTTTATATGCAATATATTTATATAGTATATTTATAATATAAATATTCTTCTACTTAACTCTGCATATATAGTTAATAATTGTTGAAAGTAATTAGAATAGTACTTGTCCATTAAAAGTAGAAATATGTAAATTTATATTTCTGGATTCAAGAAATTGTAAGCTTTAATAGTAGCTATGTATAATTTATTAACAAACATTGTTAATATTTCTGGTTTAATAAATAATTAAATACATAACATGCATGTATTGTGTGCTGTTTTGGAATTAACACCTTGTCTCTCCCGTGTTCCACGTACAGTGTGTATTTTTAAATCGATCGTTGGTGAGAAATGATGAACTAAACTAAAGTTCATATTTCAAATGTTCGTATAAAGTAATTGAAGAATTGTTTAGCAGAAACACAATCAAATTATACTTTACAGCTTCAAGAAAAATGTGAAACTATTCGTTTATTAACAATATGTGTAGAAGAAACTCAAAGTCAATATAATGAATGTTTCTTAGAGGTATGTAAAATGTCTTTTCAACATCTAATTAATTTTGCTATTACAAATACTAATAAAAATCTTTATGCTTATATCAAGGCTGTGAAACAGGAAAAATTATTGGAACTGCGAAGAGATGCGATCAATCAACTCCAACAAAAAATTTGTTACATGGAATATGATAATTATTTAACTATTACTTCTATCCATATTACGCATTACTCTATGTTAAAATCAATACAGGTAGAAAAACCTGAAAATTATTATAAAACTGCATGCCTTCCATTAATAAAGATATATATTTTTCTATGATCAGTGTTTTACTGCATTTTTATCTTTAATTATAATTATTAAAATAAACATAAGATACTATAATTTGTGTAATTTCAAAAAATATTGACAATGACTAATTTTTGCTATTTAGGAACAATTGGAAGCCAGCATGAATGATATTCAAGCTTTAAAACACAAGGTATGACGAAGTATTACTATAAATTAAAAATAAATATTTTTTATAAACCTTTCTTATTAAATGACATTTATTTTACTTTGTATAGATAGACACTTTGGTGCAGTCAAAGTGTTATTCAGAAAATAAATACCTACACATGAGAAAGTTGTGGCGGAAGGCAGAAGAAAAATTACAGGAAACGAGGTAATGGATTAACTAAACTTTGGTAGCATAATTTTGAAACTATTAAAATATTATTTTCTGAATAATTTTTTCAGGAAATCAGCTTTAAAATGTAAACAAGAAACAAAAATGAATGAAGACAAAGAATGTCAGAGTAAAATAGAAGTTATGGATAGAGGTTGCACCACACAGGATATATTTGACTTTAATGATAAAATATGTAATAACGCAGTACAGCTTAAAAACTATTTATACGAACACCAGTTACAGTCAGAAATAGACACATTAACTAGAGAAAATGAAGATATGAAGAAACAATTAGAAAAATGTAAATTGGATTTTGATATAATTGACAAAGAATTGAAAATAGAAAGAGAAAACGAAACTTACGCTCAGCAAATATCATTTGAATTACAAAAGATGAGAGACACAGAATGTTGTCTACGTTATGAGAATGAGCAACTGAAATCTGATTTGGAAAAGAGAACAAAAGAAATAGAAAGTTTAATGGAAGAGCTAAGGTTCATTAAAGAAAATGATATAAAGTTTGAAAAACTCCTTAAAAAGTTAGAAGATAAACAAATACAGGTATACATAATTTTATACGTTATTGGAATTATAAAATATAAACAATCTGACATACGAATTTCAATTTTTTAGATTAACAATTTTTACAAACAAATTAAAAATAACGAAAGCATTATAAAGGGACAAACTGAAACAATCGAGGAACTTGAGAAAAACTTAGTTAGCAGTAATATGCAGATCAAAGGGTATTTAGCCGAATTAAATGATGCGGAAGAGGAAATGACAAACCTGCATGATAGAATAAAGTCCTTGAAAAATATGCTGATAGAGAAATCAAATGATATGACTAAGTTACAAGCAGATTATGAAGTATTAAAGGTGTGCAAAAATATTATTCAAAAACATTTTGTCTAAAAATATTATTAAATCACATATTATAGTTTGACAAATTTTATTGCAGAATGATAATTCTATATTGAAAATGGAAAATAATGCATTTGAAAATAAATCAAAAGAAGATGTGTGCCTATTGAAAAATGTGGTATAAATTTTTCAATGTACATAAAATTTCATACTTCTTAAGTAATATAAATAAATATATTTGTTTTAGTTAAAAGAAATTCAGATGCAATTACGCTGTACTGAAGTAAATTATCACAGAGCCACAGAAGATTATCATAAAGCGCAAGGACAATTGTTGAAAATGACAAAACGTGAAGCAGACTTACAAAAATATATAACAAACATGGTAACTGTCTTTATACGATCATATTAATATCCAAGTGAAATCTATATTGCTCTATTCATTTATTTTAGGAAAAGGAGTATTGTTCGAAAATATCGAGTATAGAAAATGAAAAAGCTAATCTGACAGACTGTTTAGATAAAGTCAATGAAGAATTAGAAAATATTCAGGGAAATTATATATCCAAGAACGGCGATCATTGTAAACTACAAGATATTTGTAAATCCTATGCAGAACAACTAGAAATTTTACAACAACAAGTTAAATAAATCAATTTATTTTTCGAACACAATAATGTTAATATATAAAATAATAATTCATTCTTTTGTTATACTTCTAGGTTGAAACAGAACGAGAAAAAGTTAAGAAAATAGAAGAATCAAACTGCTGTATGATGTTACAATTGAAAGAATGCACGGAACAAAATTGCCTTCTTATTAAGGAAAAGACTATGGTGGAACAAACTAATTGTGAAATTATATCTGAATTACAAGATACTCATAAATCTTTATTAGAACTGAGAAAGGAATGCCAACTGAAGAATAAGTCTCTCGCTTGTATATCAGCTGAATTAACAGAAACTGCCATAAGCAGATCAGAGCTTTGCAATCAATCCCAATACATTGTTTCCTGTATTCGTATTTGGATGATGGAACAACGAGACTATGTAAATAAACTTAGTGCCAAATTGAAACATCAGCAACAACAATTAAGAGAACTTGAATTTGCAAAAAAGCAAGTGCTTCTATTATTTAATTACGAATTTCATCTATACGTTAAGCCTGACAAATTTCGAAACACAGAATCTTTTAAAAACAGTTGAACATTTTATTATAGATCTCTCTTAGAAGAAACAAGGAAGTTGAAACGTTCTAATCATTTACTAACTCAAAGATTGAAAAGGGGATACCGATGTAGCGGAAAGAATGTTGGAAATGTTTGCGCAGGATGCCATGTATTACCATCGATTGCCGTACAAAATTCTGTCACATCAATTTCTACAAATTCAAAACATTTATCCGCACAAAAAGTTAGTAAGTCTGTAAAAATTAATCTTTATAAATATTAATTTTTAAAATTCCTTCTTTAGAAATCGAATCTTACAAAAGCAACACGACGCATATCAACATGTGGTAACACTTGGTGGTTTCCTAAAATGAAATACTTGACAAATGAGCTTCGCAAAAGGAATTTGGAATATCAAGATAATTTCTGTAGCAGAAGAAATATTGATTCAGTTTTAGAAGAAAGTCGTGATTGTGGTTACCAGTCTTCAGCCAGCAAATGATAACATTGCATAACGTTTTTGTCTCACAATGAATATAATCATCTTTATATTATTACCAAGTGTTCATGCTCTACTGTTATACTTTCTGTATTTCCTTTATACTTTTAATCATATGGATAAATCTTAAAGCCCATAATTTTTTTTTATTAATTTTTCTACATTAAATCGAATGGATTATTTAAGTTTATAGTAAAGCGATAAATTTCATGACACAAGATATGTAGTAATACAAGATTTTCTAAAAATATTTTATGGAATATTCTGAACAGCAACTTGCATTCCGCCATGGATAATATTTCTATACTGTTTGGAGGATTCTAAAATGAAACATCAACACGTATATAGAATAATATCGCTATCAATAAACATAATCTTCTAAAAACTCAATATTAGAAAATTGAATATTATAAAAATACGAACTAGCACAGTATGCAACAAAATACTTTCATAAAAAAACTGAAGAATTTCTTCAGCTGACCACCATGGATTAGAAGAGAAAAATAAGAATGTTAAAAAGGTAACTTCCAAAACTACGGAGGTGCCTTTCTCTGTGAAAGAATGAAATCTAAAATACAAATAATATATATTCATTTCGATATCTATTGAGCAAATAGAATTAATTATGTATTCATATGCTGACAAACTCATACCTTACAAATTTAAAAAATTCCCACAATAATTTAACAAGAATGTTACTGCATTTTTCTTTATACTTACTCAAAAATATTTTTTCTGTAAACGATCATCAATTTCTTTTACAATTTGATTAATACTTATAGAAAATTAGATCATATTTGGAGTAATTTACCAAAGACAATTATTTCTTCTTCCTTCTGGCATTTCTTTAAGCAAATCATGTCTTCCATTGTAAAATATTTCCAAACACAAAGTTTTGAAATCGGCGGATCAATATATCGAGCACAAACAGGACTTTTCTGATAAATCCATGGTCCACACAAATCATCATAATCTAAATTTGATTCAATAGAATTTACTGAACGAATTTTTCGAGAGATTGACATTCGAATAGTCGGTATTACACGTTCCGATAAATTTAACGATTTAGTATTAATTATTAATTTTGAATAATTATTTTGGTCTTCTGCTATATCATCATCTTTTGTCATCAATTTATCCGACATTATTGGAAATCAATATTTTTTAATGTAAACATAAATAATTACTATAAATAATGGAATGAACATTACGTATGGACATGAAGACAGTAGACTTTCACATTCGAATTTGCGACGAAACTCTAATAAATTAATGCCAACACTATCAAATTTTATAAAATACCATGCATTGGCAAGACTGGGTTTTTTTAGCTTTGAAAACATGCGAAATAATTGAAAAACACTTTTTTACGAAATTGCTAAGAACTGTAATACTAATTAATTTTTCTTGTATTTAAATAATAACAGACTTATTTGCGAAGCAATAATAATAATAATTTTAGATAGAAGTAAACGACGCATGTGATAAGGCCGATAATAATATTCACAAGTTTATTCTTCTTCTTGTGTATCATTTATAATTTATCATGAATTATTGAATAAAATTAATATACAATATATTTCGGAGCAAAAATTTGTTATACATGTTTACAAACTAAGAAAGTAAATACATAGGTAATTAGCAGCAGAAATGGCCTACTATCTTACAAGATGTTTTGCGTGCCAAAAATTCATCATACATTGTATATTTTAAATGTATATTATTACTAATATTAATATTACTGTTAATAATCAATTTACCATTAATATTATCATTATTACTTATTACCATTAACATTACTTATTATATAAATCATATTAATTATATATGATTTATAGTATAATCGTATTTATATATTTATATATATATTTATATTTATAACGAACACCGCCCATTACTACTAGAATTACAAATGGGAGTTTCACCACATCTCTCTCTTTTTCTCTCTCGCTTTCTCTCCCTCTCACGCTCTCCCTCTCTTTCTCTCGTTCTGTCTTTCTTTCTTTCTTTCTCTCTGTCTTCCTTTTTTTTCGATAGATCTGATACTCAAAATAGATGATATATCTTCGAATGAAACGTGATACACGCATTTTTCTAAATTAATCACTCAGGCAAAATGTTCGTCCTGCATAGTTCACCTCCCATTCCATAACAGTGGCATTTTCCCATCGATTTATGTTCCATTCAAATTCAATGCGGACACATTCATGGTGTACTTATATTTTTGGATTATGGTACATATCTGTAAGCAAAAAGTAGTGTGCTCCTACAGTGATTCGTTTGAAAAAAATCATGTGTGCGAAAACAACAGAATTTTTAATTAATTTACATCGGTAATTACCACATGAGAGAATACAAAATATTTGATAAATTTATAAAATAATATACGTCCGTTGTTCAAGACATGGGGATAGATCCTATAGGTATCATTGAAATTTTAAATGCTTAATAATTCAGCGAGTGGTATGAAATGCAATGGGTTACACCGAGATCACCAACGTTGCTTCGACCGACAAGAATTTTGCCGAAACCAAGATTGACCGTCAGCAGTCAGTATTATCCGGCAACAATGTTTTTTCAGTGATTGCACTTTTGTCATTAAGGGGTCACAGTATTTATATACTTCTTATCATTACGATGTCTTGTAAAGTTAATGTCGATCAATGTTGTCGATTAATACTCGTGTATGTGAATTCTTGTCAGGCAAACAGTGTCGGTGAAATTTGTATTTGCGATTCCTATGCAACCGAAATACAATACTGTATGAACAAATCATTCAAATGCAATTAATTGTAATCATAAGTAATTACGCTATATTAACTTACCTAGAAAGGGTGTTTCAACTATATCTAATATGCAGTTATAAAACAGAACATTTCTTTATACCTCCATTATCCTATAATAACTAATTGTACTCTTAAAATGCTATTAAAAACAGTAATTTTTTCACTTTTAGCACTTAATTTATATAAGAAGAAAATTATACATAAAATGTATTTATGAAAGATACACGTATAACAAACATACAAAAACTATACAATTTAACTGAAAGTATATAAATAATTAATGAAGATAATAAATAGCAATAGTTCGAATTTTAATGACAACTGCGAAACTGATGACATTAAAATACTAAAATAAAGGTGTTTATCAAAGAACTTAAGAATTGCATTAGTTAAATTAACAGACTCAATATTTGAGTAAGAAATTAACATTTTCTTTAATGTCATTTTAAGATTTACAATAACAGGGTGGTGAATATTTTACAAGGATTATTTACTTTCTTGCATCTAATAGTCCACTATATAATTCGTATTGTAAAAATAAGTGCTATGTAAGTATTAATCAAATAAAAGCTACGATAAATAAATGTAATAAGGAAAGTATATAATATTTATAAGCATACTACAAGCATCGCTATTATGTGGGAAAATCTTGCAAAATTCAAAATATAAAGTATAAAATAATTATTTTAACTCAAGTGTAAATACTTATACATTTACTCACAATATAGTGTAAATAATATGTATGACTGAAGTTTTTGCAACAATATCATAAGCAATAACATGAAAGTATAAAACCACATTGAAGGTTTACAAATAAAAAAAGAAGTATCAAAAATTTAGACTGTGCATTAGTATTCACTGCAATAATTAGTCTAAGCTACATGAAATACAATGATTGTATAAGAAGAAAATTCACGTATAAATAATTCTTTTGTTCAAAAGAAAGCTGTTTGTTAAATGCCGAAATATTTGGAATTCATAAGTTTTCACCTCGATATTAGAAAAATTATATTCAAAACAAATAAATTTGTTTATAATACTATAATATATGATACATTTTTTATAACTGATTTCTCCATTAATGGAAAAGTACTATTTTCCATCATACATAATTAGACACACTTTTCTTCATCGAGATTTAAGAATTATATAAATTTTTGTGTGAAAGTATCATGTTTAAGAAAAGTTCGTTTTTACATTACCAATATAACGCAATAAAAGTTTAAGAAAAAAAACTGTGATTTGACTACTTAATAAATAAAAAGATCAAAGTAAATCAGGAATTCATTGAATAAAAGTATTAAATATAACAAAAATATACTACAGTAATATCTACTTAGATATTCCACAATGCTAATACAAAATTTTTCCTGAAGAATTTACAAATTGCAGGCTTTAACCTAATTAATATCAAATCTTTTATCATTGCAAGACCATCAGTCCTTTTTCCTTATACATTTTTACATTATAAAAATATGTAGACATAATGTGTTATTATACTGAACATTAAACTTGTAACATATCTGACGTATATATCAATTGGTTTGTGACTCCTTAATAGATACTATTTCCACTATTGTTGATCACCAAAGTGATAAATTTTAACTAATATAAAAATATATACCAACACAGTATTTAACACGTACAGATTTGGATAATCACTTGCAACAATTGCCAGTTGCTGCCTTTTGTCCTTCTGTCTCGACCAATCGACGACCTTGACCGCTCGTGCTTGCACTTCCTGATTGTTCGTTTTTTGGAAGTTTCTTAGCTGCAACAATTTATTCATAAATTACTAAATCAAAATTAAAATGTGATAAGAAATATGTCTTTCAATGGTACAGCTAACATAACAGATACTATTTCAAAAGCAGGTGCCCTTCTTATATTACACAGATAATATAATCATGATTATGATTAGAAATGTCACCAGACCTTGCCAGCATTGGTATGATTTCTGAATATAATACTTCATTTGATTTATGCAATAAAAACAAGTTACAAATTATCTTACCTATCGCCAGAAATATGTCATTAACGTTCATTGCTGTTTTGGCTGAAGTTTCCATGAAAAGAAGGCCATTTTCATCTGCATATGTTTGAGCTTCATCAAATTCTACAACTCTCTTATTTGCAAGGTCTGCTTTATTTCCAGCTAATGCTATAACTATGCTTGGACTGGCTTGTCGTTGCAATTCCTTCACCCATGTTTGGGCACGTACAAATGTGTCCTATATGTTCAATTAAAAAATTAATTTATCTAAGCAGTGAAAAATACCTTATTAAATGTATTTAAGATCAAAGTATACATATAATTATATTTGAAAGAAATTCTATAAAAGAGAGATACTTTGAGCTAAATAATTATTCTTTTGCTATTATCTTGGAATATTATTTACCTTGATTATATTATAATCTTTTGCATGTATAGAAATATCATTTATAATTAAATTAAATATTTCATTTGAATACTTTTTACTTGCCTGATTTGTTATGTCATATACAACAATGGCTGCTTGTGCACCTCGATAATACATTGGTGCAAGACTATGATAACGTTCTTGACCTGCTGTATCCCAAATCTCAAATTTTACAGTCGTATCATCCAGACATACTGTTTGTGTTAAAAATGCAGCTAAAAAGGTTAACATAATAATATAATGGTTTTAAGTAAAAGAAAATATAGATACCATTTAATAGAGCATTTAACATTTTAGAGAGCGATTCTAACAATTAAATCAGATCATAGCTGTATTCTAAGCAAGGAAAAACCAAAAATTATAGATGAAAATTTTGCACTATTCATAAATTCCATTATACTAGACATGATTTTCTGATAACTGGCAAAATTTTATTATACTTTTTATTGAATTAAAATCATATAAATTTTGCATACAAATTGATTTTGTTAATCATTCTGTATA